CTGTGGGCGTGGCTTATTTTGTGGACGTGGCTTGGAAGTCATGTGACTGGGTGGGCGTGGCTAGCTGGTCATGTGACCGGGTGGCCATGGCTATGTGTATAGGGACTACTCAGAGGGCTGAAAAAAGTCATTTCTGACAGGTCCTCGCACTTTTGACTGGTCCTCACACTTATGACCATCCTCACATTTATGCCTGTGCAGCATTCTTAACAACCATGTTACTCATTTCACAACTGCTTCTCTTCACCATGGTGACAAGATAGGGCAAAAACATAAATTGTGAGGACAGTCGTAAGTTCGAGGACTGGTCAAAAGTGCGAGGACCAGTCAAAAATAACTTTTTCAGCCCTCTGAGTAGTCCATATGCATAAAAGGATACAGCAATAGAGAGGGATGAAGGAAGGGGAGTAGAAGTGAAGGTAAGAGAGGGAGGAAGAGAGGAGGGGAAGGAGAAAAGAAGAGGAAGTAGTCAAGATCAATTTAGTCTCTAATACTGTACAATCCGTCGTTATACCCAGTAGAAACAATTGAGGAGTAAATTTCAACCTTCTTTTCAAAATGTTCTGCATCACCCACCAAATTTTTATCCAAAATGCCTTGATTTTCTTGCAGGTCCACCATATATGATAATAGGTTGCATCATCACATTCACATCTCCAACATTTAGCTTGCAAATTCGGGTACATACATGATAATTTTTTAGGATCTAAATGCCATCTATAAAACATTTTATAAAAGTTCTCTCTCAAATTTTGTGCTTGCGTAAATTTAACATTTCTAACCCAAATCTTTTCCCATGTGTCCATCATCACTGGTTCCTGAAAGTTTTGTTACCAAGTTTTCCTCATTTTGCATGACACCAATTTTCTGATCTTCCCTCCATCTAGCTTGAAGCTGACCATACTGAAACCAAGTATAAATTATCCTTTCTTCTTTTAATACATCTAAAGATTTCAGTTGCAGTTTACCCCTTTCCATAAAAAGAAGCTCTTTATAAGTAATCACCTCTGTTTTTTGTTCTATACTTATATTTTCTATTGCATGTCTAGGATTTGCCCATATGGGTAACTTATAATTTAACTTATATTGATACTTTTTCCAAACCCTCAACAACGCATTTCTAAGTATATGACCCTTAAACACTTTATCCATTTTTTTTTCATATAACATTCGCTCTTCAGTTAAATTAAACCAATCGCTAATTTGTGATGAAACAGCCACTTCATAGTACAATCTTAAATTAGGCATTTTAAGACCTCCTCTCTCACGTGCATCCTGTATAATTTTCAGTTTCACTCTTGGTTTCTTCCCGCCCCAAATAAAGGTCCTAAATACTTAACCTTTTTAACTATTTCAAACCCTGTTATTCTCCCTAAATCTTCTCTTTGAGATATGGACATATTTTTAGTTATCATCTTTGTCTTGTGTTGATTTACTTTAAATCCAGATACCTTACCATATTGACCTATTATGTCCAATATATGTGGAGCCACTTCTATAGGTTGAGATAAAGTAACAACCAGGTCATCTCCAAACGCTCTTAATCTATAATTTTGCTGTCTAATTACAATTCCTTTTATTTTATCAGAGTCACGTATCTTATTCAACAAAACTTCTAAAGTTAAAATAAACAACAATGGAGACAAAGGACAGCCCTGCCTTGTACCTTTCTCAATTTTAAAAACATCTGTTAAGCCTCCATTAACTATTATTTGTGCTGTTTGTTCCTGATATATTGCTCTAATTGATTATATAAAATACTCTCCAAAATGCATTTTCTCTATTATCTTAAACAAAAATTGCCAATTCAATCGATCAAATGCTTTCTCTGCATCCAAAAATATAAACGCTGCAGAGACCTGATTGTTTTTTTCCAAATATTCCAATAAATTTACAATTTGTCTAACATTATATTTCATTTGCGTCCCTTTTATAAAACCTGATTGATTATTATGAATTGTTTGTTGCATAACTGGCATTAATCTATTCGCTAATATCTTGGCAAAAGCTTTATAGTCAGTGTTCAAAAGTGATATTGGCCTAAAATTTTCAGGTTTGGTACAGTTTTGATCTTCCTTCGGGATCAGTGAAACAAAAGCTGTTCTCCAAGAGGGTGGAACTCTTCCCCCTAATTGAATTTTACAAAATAATGCTCTAAGCGGTTCTACCATTTCAAACTGTAAATTCTTGTAATAAACAGCTGTTAATCCATCTGTTCCCGGAGCTTTCCCTATTTTTAACTGCTTAATTGCTGCAATAATCTCCTCAGAAGTTATTGGCTGATTCAATCCTTCCCTCTGCTCTAACGTTAGTTCAGGAATATTCTCTTCCTTTAAGTATCTATCTATATCTATGCCTTGTATTGAATCACTAACATATAACGTTGTATAAAATTCTAAAAAAGCCTTTTTGATCATATTCTGTTGGCAAACTTCCTTACCTCTGTATTCTATCTTACCAATAACTCGTGATTTCTGTTTTTTCCTCAACACATAGGCCAATCACCTGCCTGGTTTATTGGCATTACAAAATGTATTGTGTTTAGCATATTGTAAACTAGTTGCCACTTGATCAGCCATTAACATATTAAATTGCTCTCGTAGTATATTTATTGTTTCTTTTGCTTTCTTATCTCCTGGATTAAGTATAAGTAATTGTTCTTTCTTTTTTATTTCTTCCTCTATCTCTTTACGCTTCTTTTGTTGTTTCAATCTATGTTTATTATTCATATGTATTAAAGTTCCCCTTATATAAGCCTTACTAGCATCCCAAACCATTTCCATAGAAGTACCCTTATGCATATTAATAGCAAAAAATTCTTTCATTTGTTTTTTAAGCTCGTTCACATTTTCTTCATATCTAAATAAATTTTCATTTAGCCTCCAAGACCTCCTTTCTCCCCTCTCCTGTTCCATTTCCACCCAAACCAGACTATGATCAGTTAGAGTTCTTGGACATATCTTCGTCTTCTTCACCCTAGAAATAAAATCATTTGTGGTTAGTATAAAATCAATCCTGGAGAAGGATTGATGTCTACCAGAAAAAAATGTAAAGTCTCTCTCCTCCACATTGCGTTCTCTCCAAATATCTCTCAGTTCTATGTCTTCCATCATATCAAAAAAGGATTTAGGTAATTTTGCACGGGTTGAGATCTTTGATAAACTTCTTTTATCTTTCTGTGTATCTATTACTCCATTCCAATCATCCATTAATATAAAAGATTTATAGTCCCATTGTATTATTTTAGTGTGTAAAAATTTATAGAACTTGTCTTGTTGCTGATTAGGGGCATATATTCCAATTAAAAACATTTTTCCAGTCTGTGTTAATAATTCAATTGCAATATATCTTCCTTGAACATCTGCCTCAATTAAATTAGCTGATAGTCCTTTCTTTACATATATGACTAACCCATTTTTCTTCTCTGGTGCTGATGCCACAAAGTGTGTACCTAATCTTGAATTTATCAAATATTTTTGATCTAATAGTCTAATATGTGTTTCTTGCAAACAAATAACATCATTGTTAAATTGTTTCAAACAATGAAATACTTTCTTTCTTTTTTGTGGTGAATTTAAATCATTGACATTCCAAGATAAGAATTTAGTTGCCATCTTTAGCCTTTCGAAGCCGCATGAGCATCAGCTGAACATCCTCCTCCACTTACTCTTTGGCCTAGCCCCCCCACCCCCACTGCTTCTGTTTTTTGAACTTCTTGAGGTAAATCTTGAGGTTGTTGAACTTTTAATTGTTGTTCACGTTTATAAGTTGCTCGGGTCAGTCGTTGTTCTCTTGGCTCTCCCTTCTGAGATGGTTCCAGAGTTGGGGGTAAGCCCCGAAGATCCAAATCTTCTTCCATGGTGATTCCTCCAGCTGAAACTTCAGCATAAGTTTGTGTCTGCTTTCCATCTTTTTCTTGTTGTAGCATCTCCATTTTCTTTCTACCCCCCCCCCCGCCCTGGTGAGGGTGGGTATCCAGCCTTTAGAACATTAACATAAAAATCTTTTGCCTTCTAAACTGTGTTTAACCGGTATCTTTCTCCACTATAAGTCACTATTAACCCAGTTGGAATATCCCATCTGTATGGCACTTGTTGATTTCTCAGTTCATTTACCAGAAAGCCAAAATCCTTTCTGCTTCTTAACATTTTTGGGGGGATCTCTTTCAAAACCACCACTTCTTGCCCAGCCACTTGAACCTTATTCTTGTAAGAAGCTTGTAAGATGCCATTTCTAATCCTCCTGGTTGTAAAATAAATCGCCACATCTCTTGGCAGCTGTCTTTGTTTTGCCAGCCAGGAGTTAACCCTGTAGATTTTATCAATTCGACTTGCCACATCTTCTGGTCTTTCTTTAATTATCTCTGCAATAGCTTCAGCACAAATGTCCTTTAGATTTTCCTTACTATTTTCTTTCAGGCCTCTCAATCTCAAGGCAAATTCCATAGATCTGTATTGTAACATTACCAATTCATCATCCACCCTCTCTGTTTTAGTCATAATATCTCCCATTTTGCTTTCCAAATTCAAGTTGGCTTCATTGATTTCTTCCACTCTCTCTTCCACCTGAATAACAAGTTTTGACAGTCCTGATACTGCAAAAACAATATCATCTCTTATTTCATCATGCTTTATTGCAACAACTTCTTTAATTGACTTTATATCCTCCTCAACTTTCTTTAATTTCCCTTCCAAGATTACTGTTAAGTTATTCATTGCTGCAGCTTGATTATTCATGGCTTCTTTCATAAACTCTTTGAGATCATTAAGAGCAGCCTCCTGACTCTGTGAATCAACTGGAAGTTGTGCTTTCTGTGTCACCACTGACACAATTGGAGAACCTCCTCCTCCTTTAGCAATTCCTGACTTAACTTGTTTAGAAGCCATCTTTTTTTCTTTTTTTTTAAAGGATCTTTTTCCCCTTCAAAGCCACAGAGTCCCTTAAACAATTTTCAAGAGCTTGTAAATTATGGGTACAGCAATCTTTCTCCTCAAACCTACCACCTCTGTCTTTTCTTTCCTTCTTACTTTCTCTTCCCCCCCTTCTTCTCCCTACTTCCTCTTCTTTTCTCCTTCCCCTCCTCTCTTCCTCCCTCTCGTACCCTCACTCCTACTCTAATTTCTCTTCCCTTCCTTCATCCCTCTCTATTGCTGTATCCTTTTATGCATATGGACTACTCAGAGGGCTGAAAAAGTTATTTTTGACTGGTCCTCGCACTTTTGACCAGTCCTCAAACTTACGACTGTCCTCACAATTTATGTTTTTGTCCTATCTTGTCACCATGGTGAAGAGAAGCAGTTGTGAAATGAGTGACACGGTTGTTAAGAATGCTGCACAGGCATAAATGTGAGGATGGTCATAACTGCGAAGACCGGTCAAATTAATTAATAGAAGGGGGGAAAAAGTGACCGCATAGAAACAAATGGGGTAGGCCAGGAACTAAGATCCCTTTTTTATGCAATTGCTTTATTTAAAAGATAGAGGAGGGACAGAAAGTCTTTTCTTTCTTGATCAGCTCTCAAATTTTTTTCTGGATTTGTATGTTCATAGGCTTGTGTAGGAGGCTATAGAAAAATTCTTTTTAAAGCTTCTTCAAGCACTGTTTGGTGTGGTAGCTGAATTATCTTTCAATTCTGAAGTTCCTTTCTATCTAAATTTAGATAGTCTTGTAAAGACTTCATGCTATTTTTTGTAGTAAAAACACAGATTTGTCAGCTTTTTTCTAGTGGTTTCTTCTAGAAAGTTATGTTTCCTTTATAAAACATTTTCCTTATAGCTACAACAGTGAGATTCAATTAAATTTTATGGATTTTTCCCCTAGGATGTGGGTCTTGTTGCTCCTGAAGCACCTTCAGAACAGGCCAGGCGGGTCTTTCAGACATATGACCCTGAGGGTAAGCAATCTAGAGGCCATTTCAGTTGCCTCTCAGGAAATTAAGCCTGAGTTTCTTCCTACATATATTGGTCGAAGTAAAAATGCAACAAATTTCATCAGTAAAGTTATCTCTCACAGATAATATAAAGTGTCTGGAATTTTTTTAATGTTACATCCATATTTTCTGTGTTATTGGCTACTATTTATCCAGTCCTTAAATACAATTTACCATGTTGAGTAATTGCTGCTGTGGGACTGAGATCAGGGCCAGTGAAAGGAATTTGAGGCCCAATGTAACACCAGGTTTGTCTTCTCCTCACATAGCTATAGATTAATAGTGCAGACAGATTCTTGCATAGCTACAGAATGTGAACTAAAATAATAAGTAACTAGAAGAAATTTACTGGTTTAATTTTGAAAGTCTATTTTACTGAATTCCTGTACTTTTTGCTATAGCAATTGCCTCATTTTAGAATGAATAACAGAACAAAGAAACAGTAGTTGCTCTGATAATCTTTTTTACCTAAGAAATGTCACAGTGCCCATTTATTCCAGTTTACTGACCTTTAATTTGTTACTCATCTGTGAGGTGGCCTGACTCACAGCTACTAAGCTTACTCAAGAGAACCATTTATGAAAGTCCAATATAAAATGTCAGCTGGATCATCGCTATCATCTGTTCATACTATTAAATAATGCCCCGTCTCCTCTGCCTCTTCTCTCTCTCTTGGCTTGGAAGAGAGAAAGTAGGTTGGGGAAAATGGCATGTTTTGCCTGCACTGCTTGCACCTTCTCTATCCCTCAGCAAAAGCACTGGCCAAGCTTAGCCAAGATAACCTTCAACATTTCCTTAAAAAGGAAGATATAAACGCTGGAAAACTAGGACTGCTATTGATATTTATATCTTTTCCTGGCACTGCTTAGTGGTTTTGGGTTGTCTAGCAAAGTTTTGCAGAACACCTTTCTCCTGCCAGTGTCCACATCACACTTACACAAGATCAATCCCTTTTTCTTCTTTGTTCATAAATGTTAAAAGTATTTGATTTTGACATTCTGGATAAGCTAGCAAGCCTTGGACAGAGAGGCTGGATAGTGGAACATGGCACCAAGATGAACAGGAAGACAGTGTAGCTTCAATGATAGTTGGTTATCATCTGCCATTATCATTCATGCATCCTGCCCTGCTTTTCATCTGTTGATTGCTTGGTCTTATGCAGTCAGGAAGGAAGGCAGGAACATCCATAATTGCTAGAGCAGAGCAAAGTGTTTGGGCAGCAGGGGGATCAGAGGTGAGGCACATGAGAAGTACCCCAATTAGGTGGTCTCCAGTTTTACAGGACCCAGTAGAACTCCGTATTCTTCAACTGCCTTAAACTATCCCTGATTCTCTGGATCTATGAATACATAGATGTCAATTTATGGTTTTAGGCTCAAAAGGTCCATCATTTCAAGCCATTAAACCAGTGATTGCAACAGATTAATAGACATAGTTTCCCTGTCCAGAGTATGATACTTAGAAAAGTGGAAAATTTTCCCAAATGACACCTTCCTGTATGAGAGCACCTTAATGAAACTGGCTTTTATACCCGCATATGAATAAATGTTAACTTCTTCCCACTCAAAAAGTATTAGTGCTAATCAGTCAACAAAAGCATTATGCTGGAATGTTAATTAAAGTACTTTTTTCCTCAGATAATGGCTTTATACCAGATCCTCTTCTAGAAGATGTAATGAAGGCCCTGGATCTTGTATCAGATCCTGATTAGTAAGTATAAATTGCCTACAGTTATGATATCAAATCACTGTGATAACTTTTTGGTGGGATAGGATTTTGTGATATGGAAGATGAATGTCTTCTATAATACAGTATTATCTATTAAAAGTCAGTAATATCTGTCCATTTCATATTTTAATTTTGCAAAGATGCTCTAGCCTTTCTTGGGGTTAAAATAAAGGCACACATGTATAGAGATCTGTGCTGATAATTTCCATTTATGGTTATGAAGCTTCCTACCACCACAGACATTCATGAACAGAATTCAGATATAGTCTATAGAGAGAAAGGGTAAGGGGCATAGGTTCTATCCATGTGCCTGAAATCAGAAGTATACACTTACATAAGGGAGGTTCTTGGTCCCAAATATGGCTTGATTATCATTTTAACCCAAATTATAATGTTTGAACAGGATATCTTCATTGTATTAAATGTGTGTTTTGAAGAGATGCTTAATGCTGCTAAGTTTGCATATTTAATTTTCTTGTATTCTCTAAAATAATAAAATCAGGGCTGGTTTCTGCAAGACATTTGGAAAATCGATAATGTGTTAATGCTGTGAAATATTTGCAGTAATTGTATAGTCTTCTCAAGTATAATCCCAGAAGTTAGACTGCAATTTCTTTTAAAAAAAAAACTTTACCTAATAAAGTCTGGAGTCGTTATTATTGCTGTTGCTTTGATTTTAAATAGATTTGTAAGTAATCTTACTTTGGCAACAAAATGCCATTCCTTTGCATTTGCTATTCAGATTCTAAATACAACCATTTGATTGTTTTTGGTATTTAAAAGCACAGCATTTAGTCATGCAAAAATATGAATGTGCCTTATTTTGTGTGTTTCATCTTAACAGTGTTAATCTTATGAAAACAAAATTAGATCCAGAAGGACTAGGAATCATCTTACTAGGTCCCTTTCTTCAAGAATTTTTCCCTGAACAGGTAATACCATATTTCTGGGTTCCTGTGATGGAACATATGTAAATAAATATTGTGCAAATCTCAATCCTGAAACCAATAGAGCCAGTGCTAATGCAGAGACGTTGTAATTCTTTAGCTCTTTTGATGAATTTCCAGACAATCCTGGATTTTAGCCATGATGATTTATCCCTGACCTATTCTTTCAAGTTTCCAAATGGTTCCCTCAACACATCTTTCACTGAGTCCATACAGCTTGCTGCTGGTCATCTTCTTTTTCCTTCCACAGTGAAATATATTTCCTAGAAAATGTCATAGTATTACAATCTTAATTTACTATAAATCATTGGAAGTACATTTACAGGTTCTTTTACAGTCCTTGACTTACAACCATTCATTTAGTGACCATTCAAAGTTACAACCACACTGAAAAGAATGACTTACAACTGGTCCTCACACTTACAAATCAACACAGCATTCTCACGGTCTCGTGATCACAATTTGGGTGCTTGGAACTCAGTGTGTATTTACAATGGTTGCAATGTCCCAGGGTCACATGATTGCCATTTGTAACCTTTCCAGTTGGCTTCTGACAAGCAAAGTCAATTGGGGAAGCCAAATTTCCTAAATGAACACATGATTCACTTAACAACTGCAGTAATTTGCTTAACAACCATGGCAAAAAAGGTCATAAAATTGAGCTCAACTCACTTAACAAGCGCCTTGCTTAACAATATATATTCTGGTCTCAATTGTGGTTGACATCAAGGACTACCTGTATTTATTTGTTTGTTTATATCCCATCTTCATTATTTTTACAAATAACTCAAAGTGGCAAATAAATCCAACACACCTTCCTCTATTTTTTCCACAACAACAGCCCTCTGAGGTTGGGCTGAGCAAAAGAGCTTGGCCCAATGTTATTCAGCTGGCTTTCCTAGCTAAGGAAGAACTAGAATTCATTGTCTCCTTCTCCTAACCTGATGTCTCAATCACTAACCAAACTAGCTCCCATTATTACATTTGTAATAAAAAGCAATAAAAAGTGTATAAATGATTTCAGGTCATACACTAACTCCTTCATGTAGTTAGTGTATGACCTGAGATTGATTGCCTTATGCTTCTTCTTAGGATCCAAAGATTCAAGAGTCTTTTACTGTATACCATTACAATGGATTGAAGCAGTCTAACTGTAATGAAAAGGTATGAGAATGTCTTGTAATATTGTTGGATTGCCACTTCCTTAGAAAACAAGAGCAGTAGATTTTAGCCAACTTTGCAATAGATAGTCCCCCAGGATACATGAAGATAGGGGTGGAGACGGCCAGTGGGCTCTGACTAGTGACAGTGAGGAAGAACCAAATTGGCAGGGGTTCTTGGGTGCTTCAGGAGTTGTAAAAATATACATATACACCATGGATTGCTTTCCATTGCTATATGAGATTATCTACATGTACACAGTAGGTAATACCATTACTCTATGAGAAGATGCATCCATTTTGATACTTAGGGCTAATCAAATTCAAAAGCACACACTTGAAAGATGTAGCTGGTCAGCAGTTTATTTCTGATTAAGAGAACTCATTTAATAATTTAATTAATTTTAATTTTTTAAATTTATGTACCGCCCTTCTCCCTGAGGACTCAGGGCGGTGTACAGCCAGAATTAAAAAACATAAAATACAAATATTAAAAAACAATTAAAATATATATAAATTTGGCCCAAAATTAAAAATACAAACCCATTAAAACATTTAAAATTTCTTCTTAAGCCAGCCCGTCTTGCTGGAAAAAGTGGGTTTTAAGGGCACAGCGGAAGGCACTAAGGTCTTGGATTCTCCTTATCTCTGGGGGCAACTGATTCCAGAGGGTAGGTGCCCCCACAGAGAAGGCCCTCCCCCTGGGGGTCACCAGCCTACATTGATTGGCTGATGGCACCCTGAGGAGGCCCTCTCTGTGGGAGCGCACGGGACGATGGGAGGTCATCGGTAGCAGCAGGCGGTCTCGAAGATAGCTAGGCCCAATGCCATGGAGCGCTTTAAAGGTGATAACCAGCACCTTGAAGCGCACCCGGAAGACCACTGGGAGCCAGTGCAGCTCGCGCAGGAGCGGTGTTACATGGGAGCGCCATGCTGCTCCCGTCACTACTCGCGCTGCTGCATTCTGTACCAGTTGGAGCCTCCGGGTGCTCTTCAAGGGGAGCCCCATGTAGAGAGCGTTGCAGTAGTCAAGGCGAGAGGTGACGAGGGCATGAGTGACTGTGCACAGGGAATCCCGATCAAGAAAGGGCCGCAACTGGCGAATCAGGCGAACCTGACAAAAGGTCCCCCTGGTTACAGCTGTCAGATGTTCCTCCAAGGACAGCTGCATATCCAGGAGGACTGCCAGATTGCGAGCCCTTTCTGTGGGGGCCAAAGACTCGCCCCCAATAGTCAGTGATGGAGTCAACTGACTATATCGGGATGCCGGGAGCCACAGCCACTCAGTGTTGGAAGGGTTGAGCTTGAGCCTGTTCCTCCCCATCCAGATCTGCACAGCCTCCAGGCACTGGGACATCACTTCAAGGGCATCATTGGGGGGCCTGGGGTGGAGATGTACAGCTGGGTGTCATCAGCGTACTGGTGGTATCTCACCCCGAAGCCATGGATGATCTCGCCCAGCGGCTTTACATAAATGTTGAACAGGAGGGGCGAGAGGACCGATCCCTGCGGCACTCCACAGATGAGAGGCCTCGAGGTCGACCTCTGCCCCCCTGCCAACACAAACTGCGACCGGTCGGAGAGAAAGGAGGAGAACCACCGCAACACGGTGCCTCCCACCCCCAACTCTTCCAGCCGGTGCAGCATGATACCATGGTCGATGGTATCAAAAGCCGCTGAGAGATCTAACAGGACCAGAACAGAGGAGCAACCCCTGTCCCGAGCCCTCCAGAGATCATCAATCAACGCGACCAATGCCGTTTCCATGCTGTGCCCAGACCTGAAACCCGACTGGAACGGATCTAGATAAGATGTTTCCTCCAGGAATTGTGGGAACTGTCGCGCGACCACACTCTCCACAACCTTCGCCATGAAGCAAAGGTTGGAGACAGGACGGTAGTTGGCCAATATTGCCGGATCCAGGGACGGCTTCTTGAGGAGAGGCCTCACCACCGCCTCCTTCAAGGCAGCGGGGAAGTGGCCCTCACTCAGCGAAGCATTGATAACACCCTGGAGCCAGCCTCGTGTAACCTCCCGGGAAGCCAGTACCAACCAGGAGGGACACGGGTCCAGTAAACATGTGGCCGCACTAAGTCTCCCCAAAATCCTGTCCACATCATCGGGAGTCACAGCGTCAAACTCCTCCCAGATAACATTCTCAAGACTATTCCTCGTCACTCTGCCCTGATCTACCCAGTCAGAGTCCAAATCCCCCCGGATCTGAGCAATTTTGTCATACAGGTATTGTCCAAAATCCTCCGCCCTGCCTTCCAAGGGATCCTCCCGCACTCCCAGATGGAGCAGGGAGCGGGTCACCCTAAACAGGGCGGCCGGACGATTCCCTGATGACGCAATAGAGGCGGAAAAGTAATTAAACTAGATAGGTCTTAATATGCGAGCTTACCAGTATTCAATCAGATTCAGCGAGACTGGCCCTCCAACCGCTCTCCAGGCGTCTTTTCCGGCGCTTCATTTCCCTCAACTCCTCGGTGAACCAAGGAGCCGCACGGGATCGGCACCGGGTCAGAGGCCGCAAAGGCACGACTCGGTCCAAGGCCCCACCAGCCGCCTGATCCCAGGCGGCTACCAGGTCCTCGGCCGAGTCATGTGCTAGAACTTCAGGAAATGGCCCAAGCTCCATCTGGAACCTCTCAGGATCCATCAGACGCCTGGGGCGGATCCATCTAATTGGATCCGCCTCCCTGCGGCGGGGGGCAGCGGTTCGAAGATCTAGGCGAAGGAGTGAGTGGTCTGTCCATGACAAGGGTTCCATGTCTATATCCCCAATAACAAGACCACTCAACCACTGGCCAGAGACAAAAATCAGGTCCAGAGTGTGACCTCCCCTGTGAGTAGGGCCATGAACTAACTGGGTCAGGTCCATGGCTGTCATGGAAGCCATGAACTCCCGAGCCACCTCAGACGTTTCACCAACGGATGGCAAGTTGAAATCACCCATGACTAAAAGCCTGGGTGTATCTACTGCCACCCTGGCTATCACGTCGAGTAGCTCAGGTAGGGCTGTTGCCACGCGGCAGGGAGCCAGGTACGTAAGCAACAAGCCCATCTGAACCCCATGACCCCACCTCACAAGGAGGGACTCACATCCGGCTACCTGAGGCACAGTGGTCTCCCTCGGACCCAGATCCTCGTTAATAATAACCGCCACCCCTCCCTCCCCTCCCCTGGGCCCTCGGCTGATGGAATGCTCTGAAGCCTGGTGGGCACATTTCGACCAGAGGGACGCCGCCCTCCGGGCCCAACCAGGTCTCCGTAATACCCGCCAGGTCCGCTCCTCCCTCTTGAATAAGATCGTGAATGAGGGGGGCCTTATTTACCACGGACCTGGCGTTGCATAGCATCAGCCGAAGGCCCAGATCCTGAGTATCTAAGCCACCTAGTGTCCGAGTGGAGCCTTGGGGACCGGGGCAAGCAATTGCTCTCAGATAGCAAGTGCGAGCCCCCGACACATGATATGGTCCCCTGCTCCCGCCATATCTGCCCCTCCCATTCACCGTGCTGATGGAAATTCTTCCTCTGGATAGTCCTCCAGCCCTTCCCCAATCCCTCGACCTGCATCTTCCAAACCGTCCCCCTGTGCCGGGCTCGGCTCTGACCCTAGTGGGTTCATCCCCCCATACCCCTTGGTCTTCCTCCCGGTTCCCCTTAAAAAATCATTATTCCCACCCCTTAAAAATTTCATTAAAAATTTACATAGAAAACCCCTCAACCCCCTCTTCGCTGCATGCCATCTCTCGGGGTTCCAAGACCCGTCATCAAGATAGGCCCTCGATAACATGGAGGGCCAGGCCTGCGAGAGGGGGGAGTCTCGCAGTGCGAAGAGATCAGCGGATGAATACATCTTAAGGTTCCAAAAGTCTGTCTGGGGAAGATGGAAATAGGCCAAGGATTCTTAATGATGGTTTAAAAAAGTCCAGGGGAGAGAGTCCACCATTTCGGCCGGGGGTCAAACCGGACACCACTGTCCTCCCACGACAGTGGAGAGGAGTCTCAGGCAGCTTTCCCAGAGGGCAATGACCCGGTCACCCTTTCACGGTGGCCAGTGGCAGCAGGTCTTATACAGTGGCAGCTGCAACAAGATGACTCCCTCAGTGCCCCCGCCCAGGCTCACATCTCTCCTCACAGCAAGTGGATGTTAATGTCAATAGGGCCGATGGAATTGCCGGAAACCGGAGGTCAGCTGTGGGCATACAAGGAGCTATTTAAGTCGGGTGCAAGAAAAATCTGGTCGGGGAGATAGTAATCCAGGCCGTGCCCACAAACCAGGCCGCGGCGGAAAAAAGAAAGAGGGAAGGAAGGGGGGGTGGAGACAAACCAAGAGGGGGCGGGACAGTCCACACCATCTTCCAGCTCTTCCCAGCTCCCTAAACATCTTTTCACATTGCTAAAATATATTGTAGCAATGCTTTGGTTCTTGAAATATCTTACATGTGTAAAATGGCTGTTTCTGATAACATTTATTTGCAGCTGGATTTATTATTTCAATTTACATAGGATTAAATATATGATAATGCTTTTTGACAGGTCATGTATGTAGAAGGTACAGCTGTAATTATGGGCTTTGAAGACCCAATGCTCCAAACTGATGACACACCAATCAAGCGTTGTTTGCAGACGAAATGGCCCTATATAGAACTGCTTTGGACCTCAGATCGATCCCCTTCATTAAACTGATGTTAAGAAGAGAATTTGTATTCATCCAATATTTTGAATGAATGTGGGATATGCAGTTGACTGTATCTAAAACAAACTTACTTTACTTTGCAACTATACACTGGTATCACTGAGAAATTGTAAATGGACACTTTTTCAGTGTTAGTATTTTTTTTAAAGAAAACCAATGACTTGATTTGTATTAAAAATAATTCCTGTTTGGCCATAATAGAATAGGTAAATGTGAGTTTGCATCCATAAGCCTGCTCATTCAGCCAGAAAGGATAAGGAAGTGAGCTGCTATATGGCAGCATCAGCACAGTGGATTAAGTTTGTCTTAAATATCATAGTATTCACTTGTTTCATGCTTGTTCAGTCATATAGTTTATTTTGAATTATACTGCCTTAGGGTACAACCTGTTTTGGGAGTCCCAATGTTCAAGCCTCACTGAAACATAAAGAACTATAAAAATATCAGGTAATACTATTATATTGTTCTTATATCAGGAGGCTTTCTGCCAGGAAACTCATCTAATGGGTTGTGGCCTGTACTGGAATATCATAGTTTGGGGAATAGATTATATTTGCACTAACTATGCTTAGATGATAACATCTCTGCTGCTTTTCTCTGAAAATCTGACTCTTTATCTATGTAGCTTTTTTGAAAATGAAGCAAAAATGATTTTTAGTATGGCTGGTGATAAATGATAAATACTATTTATTGGATGAGATACCATTCTTAAAGCTTACCTATTAGTCAAAGCAGGATTTAAATAAAATTGCATAATAATATCCTGAGTTGTATAAAGGATATATAAAAGCCTAACTGCAAAAAAGCGCTGTGATTTTTGTTCATATTATTATTGCCAAATACCTCTTCTCAATATGTATTAATAAACATATACCTATACACTACTATTCATGTTAACATGCATGACTAATCTGTTATTCAAGTAGTATAGTGTATTTATTATCTAGCAAAGTCAAAATTAAAAAAAATATTGTTCAATACTAAATGAGTTATTTTCTTCCTTACTGAGCATGATCATTTGGATATGTGGAAATATTTTTTTCATTAAAGACAGAATTTTGACAGAATTATTTTATTAAGCACCAATTGTTTAATTGTTGAGACAACATGGCAGCAAAGCTTCATTACTGCTCTTTTTTTAAGCACATCCTTAGAGTTAACCTTTATTTCAGTCATACTTTCATATCCCACAAAGCCAGCTTCCCTTTTCCTTAAGTAGAAAAGAATAACTGTCTACAGGCATTTTTCATTTTGGTGATGAATGAGATTCCAGTCACCTGAGGCTTGCTGAACATTTTGAAAACAAGAAATATGACTGGCTAAATAACAGTAGCCTTTGTTTGGACCCTCTATAATTTCAAGTAAAAGCTCAATTTTTAATCTGTGGCCTTGTTTTTGGTAAAACCTTAATGTACCAATACTGATTTTTCGTAAAATTATTCATTATAATTAGCAAACCAGAAAAATTCCTTGCCAATATAAGGAAAATTATTTTCTTAGAATAGTTTTATCTTCTAGGGTTTTCCCATTTTCCAGACATCCCTTCATTGCGCTGACTCTGAATCCTTTCCTTTACACCAGGGGTGTCAAATTCCAGGCCTAGGGAGTGGATCCAGCCTGCAGTGTGCGTAGATCTGGCCCACAGGGCCGCCCTGGAAACAGTGAAGGACCAGCCCACGGTGCCTCTGCCAGCAAGAACAGGCCTCTGAGCTGCCGTTGCAGCCAAAACCGGAGCTCGGGAGCCCGTTTTCATTGGCAGAGCGCTCATGCCACCACAGGCGCCCCAGACACCTGTGACGTCGAGCTGGCCACGCCCATCCCAGCCCCCTGAGGTCAAACCACCCTGATGCGGCCCTCAATGAAATCAAGTTTGACATCCCTGATTTACACTCTTGTTAGACTTCCCTCTTAATTTCTAGTATGAGAAAAGGTCTTAATTTGCTAATAACAATAAATTTGGGAGTTCATATTTGTAACTGTAACAACTGCTAATCCAGTATGAGCCTTCTCATATGACAGATTGCCTTCTAAAGAATATTTGAGTAGGTGGGAGAGTTTTTTACTTTGTTTCAGTAAAAGACCCACAGATTTTTTTTCTTAACTAAGATTCATAATGTTTTAAAAGGTTATTGTTGCTAAATATCCTTAACACTGCCATCCTCTTGTGTGTTAGGATTGCTCTGGAAAGTCAGAGATCATATGGCTAGAAGAACCAGCATGTGGTTTGCTATGGCTATTGAAATATTGAAGGATCAGTTCAGTTTGATAGCTTGTGTAAACAGTCTCATGATCATGAAAAGTTGCATGGCACTCTGCTGCAGTAACTTGTTTATGTACTTTGTGTGTTGTTCTTACAACTGAGTGCATTCTACAACCCTCAATTTAATAAAGCTTTCTGACAAATACTTTCTATTTGAGATTTTAGGAGTGTACATGGTAAGTATTTTAGAAAACATTTTAAAATAAAATGTTCTTCTGGTAATTAGAATAACAAAACATTTATAAAACAACTTTTCCAGGGAAAATAAAGGGAGAATTGCTAAACTTTACACTGTAGAAACAGTGGGTGAGTGTTGATACTAGTAGTAGAGAGACGATGCAAGACAACTTGCACTGGACATCAAAATCAAAAGGTCATACAGAATTGAACATGATTGAACAACAATCCAGACAGAATGAATATGAAAAAAATCCCTTTTGTAATGACCCGAAATATCTGCCACTGTCTAAGATCGAACTCGACTCTCCAAGTGGGATCTTATTTTCGGGAGATTTTTACCTGCTTACTTTAGGACCACCACAGGCAGGCCTCCCACACCCCAACACCTGTTGCGCCACTGCCCAACTTTTCTACAGCGGCTCACAGCCAGATGCTACATGGTGCATTGCACTGATACCACTGTTCGCAGCAGGACGCCACATGGCTTGTTACGCCACTGCACCTGGCAGGCTCCATGGCACATCACACCAGTGCTGCTGCTCACTGCAGAAGGCTACGTGGTACGTTACACTGCTGCCACTCGTGGCCACACCATCTTAACTTAGGACCGCTGTAGTCAAGCTTCCCACACCCCGCGCTCTCCTTGACTTTGGTAGATGCTTGCAGCTGCTCGCTGCTGGACTCCACATGGCACATTGTGCAGATGCTGCTGCTCACAGCAGGAGACCACATGGGATATTGTGCCTGTGCCGCTGCTCACAGCCGGCTGCATTGCACATCACACTGGTGCTACCTTTCACTGCGGTAGACCATGCCTTAGCTTGATTTTTATCCATGCCCCTTGCTCCATTTCGTACAACCAACAGTGGGATGCAGTCGGGGGGTCTTAACTAGGCTTATTTTAAGGGCAGGTCTTATTTTTGGGGAAACACAGTATCTAACTGTTTCATAGTTTTAGAATTGTAAGCTGCCCAGAGTCAATTGATTGATATGGACGGCTATAGAAATGGAACAAATAAACATTTACATATTGGGCACCACAATATAAAAAAAGATGTTGAAACTAGAAAAAATGCAGAGAAGAGGAGACGATTTAGGGATTGTAAACTGAAATATATGAAGAACGGTTGCAGGAATTGGATGTCTAGTTTAATGAAAAAAAGGAATGACATGATAATAGTGTATCTCAGGGGTTGCCTAAAAGAAGAGGGGAGGATTTCAACCTATTCTCCAAAGCACCTGAAGGCAGGTTAAGAAGCAATGGATGGAAACTAATCGAGAGAACTAATCTTGACCCGAGAAAAAATTTTCTGACAGAACAATTAATCAGTGGAATCAGAACTTGTGGGTGCTCCAACAAGGAGGTTTTAAAGAAAAGGTTGGACAACCATTTGTCTGAAATGGTTACAGGTCTTCTGCTTGAGCAGGGAGTTGGACTAGAAGACTTCCAAGGTCCCTTCAAATTGTTATTTTGTAAATAAAAATCCCTTGTTGTAGGGAAGTTAATATCAGTGTTGCTGGTATAAAATCTTCCTTCACTAATGACAACTACATTTGGTATTTTCCAAATTAAAACTAAAGCAAACAACCAATACTGGTTGTTAAAAGGAAAAAAAAGAGGTCTTCCACCATCTTACTGAGAAGCAAATTCTGCCACAACATAAAAGATTGTGACTTTTTTGTACAGTGCCCCTTGTATCACAAAGGGAGGCTGTTAATTCCTGACTTTTTAACTTTTTAATAAAAGAGAAAAACAATAGGGAAAAAAAATCTCCAATGGCATGATCAGGGTGAGTGATCCTTCATTTGAGTCAAGAGATCTCATTCCTTTCTGCCCGTTTTCCAGCCTCCTTCATCCCTGTAGCTGTTGGAGAATTTAAAAAACAAAACAAAAAACAAATATGGGATTGCTAGAGAAATCCCATTCTTCTGCTACCTTCCTCAAATTTCACCTCTTCTAGCCCCAAGGAGCATTTTAAACAGTAAACCTTGTAGAAAGTAATTCACACAAAATGATTGGATTCATTCCCAAAGACCTTGGGTTTTTTTATTCTATTTTTATTTAGTGCAAATGTGAGGTTAATTAACTAAGCTAGGGGTTCCTCCTCTGCCTTTTAAGGATGTGATGGACACAAGGTTACTTCCTTTTTGCTTGGGTTTTCTCCTGTCCCAATTATTTTCTATTCAATGCCTAATTCTGCCTCTAAGGCAATGTTCCCTGGTTTTTGTTTTGTTTTTTAAAGTAATTTCCTGCCTCTCCCACACCAGTAGAGAAGCAGGATTGGTATGGTGGAAGTATGAAGTTTGAGGTAGATAATATATCCAAACGGAAGGAACCGAGTATTTTCCCAATGAGATTTGGCCCAAAAGATCAAGTTGGGGTCATTTTAACCATCCTTTAGACACTTTTAAAATCCTTTAGCAATCTTGAGATAGAGGAATTCTCTCTTGTTTGTGTTATAAAGTGACCCTCCTCCCTCCATAACTTGCAAGGGAAGAAGGTCAGAGACGGAGCTAAGATCTTGATTTGATTGTGTTTGTGTGTTCTTCTGGGTGGGCAAGTGCCCTGTAAAATAAACGCAGACCTTTGTGGAGAAAGGTTCTGTTTGCATTGATCAGGACTTCCTTTGGTGATCCCCCCCTCCCACGCTCTTCCCCACTTGCAAAGACCCCCAGGCCTTGCTTGGAAAGGCTTCCTTCCAGCATAACAATTGTCCTTAGGGTAATTCCGGAGCGGGGAGGGTGTTTTTTTTCCTGCTTTATTAGGGTGCACTGCCCTCTTCCTCCTGTTTGAAGCTCAAGTTCATCTGCCTCTCCATATATCAAAATTTCAGGCTTATTTTCTTAGAGGAATGAAAGGGATGTTTACAGGAAGGGATCCCTGCAGCTTCTACTGTTTTCTTGAACGCACCCAGAAATATTACAAGAAGTTTTTTTAAAAAAAATGCTTTCAAAAAACTGTCAAAAACACCCATCACATGTTTTCTGGATTATAAACTCTTGTCGTCACAAGCCAAGAGGTTTTCCAGCCTTAAAGGATGTGGATGCTGCACAGTGTAGTTCAGCACAACTGAGCAACACAAGCTTAGTGTTAGTTGCCAAGAAAGTAGCCATTGCCATTTGAAGTAACTAGTGTTGCTTCCTACATTTTCTTCTGGTCTCTTCTGATAGCTTGATACACCACCATGCTTGTGTAATGGCCTATGTCCTATGTCACAGTGGTACAAAGCAACATTTCTTTCTTTTTCTTCTATCATTCTTATTGAGCTTAATGGGGGGAAATGCTTTTAGAACTTTTTTACAAGCCAAGAATAATTTCAGGATAATTTTCGTATTAAGGTGTAGCTGTTTTCTATGTTTCTTAGCTAACAGGATAACCAAAGGATGGATATGAATGTGCTACCTTGGATTCTGCAACTATCTTTTTTCTTTCAAGTAAATCTCAAGGGAAGACTTTATAAGAAATCTCTTTTGCAGAAGGTGGGGCAGTCAGCCAAGGGAAAGCTATGCAGCATTGTCTTCAGGGTATGATGAGAAAAG